AAATGCATGCAGGTAGGAATGCAACCGCCTGTTTGTAAGTGTCTGAGTGTTCGTCTCCGTACCTTGCGGTGCCGTACTGTTCATGCTCTCTATCCATCCCTATATACCCCCGTTTACCGCGCTGCGCTGTCTATTAAAAGCAATGTCCATCCACCCACCCATCCATCCATCCATCCATCTATATATCCAGCCAGCCAGCCAGGTAGGTAGGCAGCCCGGGCCCATTCTCTCCACTTCCTTCCCCTTCCCCCGTGTCTTCCGAACCACCACCTCACACGCCAGGCCTGGGGCACACCGCGGAGGCCCTCCACGCGCTCAACGAGACCATGCGTCTGGCGCAGCAGTGCGGCGACCCCGTAGTGCTGCTACACGCTCTGTCCGTGCTGTGTAGGCTGCTGGCGGCTATCGCACCCGGCGCGCCCGGACTGCCGCCCCACGGCCCCGCAGCCCTTCGCTCCAGCCTGGCTCACCACGTACAGCTGTTGCGCATGCTGCGCCGCTGCCGGGAGCGCGGACGGGAGCTGGGGCAGCCGCACCTGACGGCGTTTGCGCAGCTAGCGGCGGCGCGATTTGCCATGCTGCATGACGTGGAGCCGAGTGACAGCGGCCTGCATGCGCCGCCGGGGTCACTGACGGCGGCGGCCGCGGCGGCGGCGGTGCCGCCTTCGGCTGGCGCCGCGCCGGCGGAGGCGCCCGCCGGCGCCGGAGGTGAGGGAGAGCTGCGCGCTGCACCGCTCATGGTGAGCAACTTGTCAATGGCAAAGGAGAGAGTGAGAGAGAGAGAGGGGGGGACGGCTGCCCGTATCCGCATAACTCAATATGACGGGGAGGTGGGGGGCCATAACGCTGCTGTAACCGTGCCGTTGGTGGAAGCCACCGCGCTCTTTCCGCGCATTTGCCACGCTTTTGGACAGCCCGACTAAACCCCCCCGACCTCTTACTTTTCCCCCTTTGTTCACTTCCTGCCCTGTTGTTGTTATTGCCACAGGTCTCATGTGCTGTGCGGGATACCCATGCACTGGCTACCGCCGCGTCTCTCTCCGCCGCCGCGCCTGCGGCGCCGCCGCCGACCGCCGCCGACGGCACCCCGCCACCGCCACAGCGCGCCGCCGCCGCCGCCTCGGACCTGTACTCCTCCCCCCTACTCTTTGACCGCTCCCTGCCGATAGGTGCTGCCGCTGCCATGGCGGATGCCGTACAGCAGCTCGCCGGCGCCGCACACCTGTTGCAGTCTGCCGCGTGGGCACTACACGGCCACAACACTCTAGAACGAGCCCACACGATGATGTATTTGGCGGCGTTTTCGGACCCGCAGGTCGGTTGCGGCACACCGGCGCGTTTCGAGGATCGCAGTACGGCATGTGCACAGCTGGTGGCGGCAGTGGCGCGGCGCGGCCCGGCAGCGGCACGAGCCGCCGCGGCGGCGTGCCTAGGGCTGCTGGCGGCCAGTGTGTGCTGCGACGGCACTGAGGATTCGTCGCCGTCGTACTCTGAATCTTCCGCTGGCGGCGGCGCGGCGACGGCAGTGACAGCAGCGGCGGCGGAGGGAAGTACAAAGGCATCCGGCGGGTGGGATGGCGGCTGCAATGCTCTGGCGTTGTGGGGCGGTCCTGCGCTGGCGGCGGCATGGTTGTGTGCCGTACATGACCGTGCGCTGGCGCTGGGAGATTCTGCTGCGGCGGCCCAGCTAGTGGGCCAGCTTTGTGCGCTATCGGACCCCCAGGCGCATCGCGATGTGGAGATCAGGTGTGAGGCAGGCGGTACATACTTGAAAGACACACGCACACACACACACACACACACTCTCTCTCTCTCTCTCGCCATTTCCTCCTCTCGGCTCAGATTCTTAAGACCTGCAAAACTATGTATAGCCGGCTGGACTGCTTGGCCCCAAGCCCCGTCCCTCTTCGCTTCCCATTCCTGCCGGGCTCAATACCGCTCAATAAAGTCTTTTCCCACCCTCACCCCATCCCTGGACTGGATTGGGCTGACTCTTGGGATGCGGCTTCCTAGCTCCCTCTCCTCCCCTCCTCTCCCCGAGGTCGCCGCACTTCCAAGAACGCCTCTTGGTCAGTCCTACTCTTGGTACACTCTTGCCCTGGCAGCAGCTTCACTCGTTCGTGGTTCGTCTTTCCCTCCCCTTTCTGCGGGTATTGGTGTCTATAATGTATGTGTATATGGGGTCCCCCCCGGAGCAAAGCTCCGTAAGTGCTACTGGTGGTTGCTGCTGATTTGCGTCATCGCGCTTGGGATTCCCAATATTCGGTGAGGGGCCAAAAAGGGGCCCGGATGCCATATTGGTTTGGACTTGTCACCGCAGTTAACACCCTTTATTGCCGCTTCTTGCTTCTTGTCAGCGTAATTCTTCCATCTCTCCCTTCCCTCTCTCTCCGCGGCTTCTACCCCCAACTGCTCCCCCCCAAACTGGCCCCCCCCCAGGTTGGAGGCCGCCCGCCGGGGTGTGCTCAACCTGTTGGCCGCGGGCGCCACGGAGGAGGCCCACCGGGCAGCTACGGAGCTCTTTGCGCGCTGTGCAGATGCAGGTCAGGTCGGGGTGGGCCCGGGGGTGGGGACTATTCAGTTGTGGTGCTTTGGACATCTTTTGATGCTAATCTGGTTGCTTTCCGTCCGAGGGGGAATTATTATGTAGTAGGTAATCCCGTGGCTCCATGGCGACGTGAACTGGTTTCGGAGCTTCGAAAGCTGGTTGCAACCTGTGGGAAGGCATGTCGTGTGCGGGGTTTGGCGGGAAGGGGGCTTAGGGATTGGCGATGTAGGAGAGGAGGGGGGGGAGGAAAGGTGGGGAAAGACGAACCACGAACGAGTGAAGCTGCTGCCAAGGAAAGAGTGTACAAAAAGCAGGAATGACCAGGAAAAGGGGGGAGGGGGTAATGACGAGGGTAGTTAACAGTCTCCAGGGGGGGCGGGAGAGGAAGAAATCGGGTTCGAGGGTTTACGGCAGTAGGGGGGCAGCACACACAGCCGGGGGCCCCCGCAGCACGTCTATTCCTTTGTGGCATGCGAGTCTGCGTTTCTGCACCTATGCACAGCGGGGCCCCCATCCCCACACTAGTCCTGCCTCCTAGCGGCCCGGCCTTCCTGTCTCTTCCCCCCCCGACGCCCCTCCACCTAAACCCCAAATGCCCTCCACCTCTCCTTCCAGGCCTCCAAGCTCCAGCCCTCCGCTGCCTCATGCTGCTAGCGGAGGTGCACCTGGCGGCTGGAGATCCCCACGGAGCCTTCCTGCACGTGCTGGCGTGTCTGCTGCCCGCGCAGCCGGGACCGGGGCCCGCGGGAGGTGGCGTCTTTGCGGCAGCGGCCGCGGGCGCCGCCGCTGACAGCAGTAGCCTGGGTGCTGCGGTGGCTGGCGGCGGCAGTGGTGGCGGCCGTGGTGGTCGCAGCCACGACCTGCTGGCTGCGGAAGCTCTGGTGTTGTTGTGCCGAGTGTGGTATGAGCTGTCGGACGGGCAACAGCTAGAGGAGGTGTTGGTGCTGCTGCAGGTAATGCTGTTGCTGCTGTGCACGTGTGTGTCTGTGTATGTATGTTTCTTGTGTGTTTTGTGTCTGTGTAAGAGATTAGAGACAAGAAGATCGAGAGATTGAAAATGTGGATGTGTTTTTATGCGTCTGTTTTGTATGCGCGATGTGTGTGTTCCCCGGTGTCTCCGCCATGAGGTGGTCGCACCCCTGTACAGGGGGGGAAGGGCTCTCACCAGCTGCCAAGCCGAATATTCCCTACGGGTCCTCGTGCCCACCTTCACCAGCAGGGGGGTGGCGGATTTCAAATTGCACTTCCAGAAATCTTGAGACCGCTGGCGTAGGTCAGGGCCCCACCGCTTCCGCCATCAATTTCTCTCTCCTGCCCCTCTCCTCCCCTCCCTTTCTTTCCCCCCCTTTCACTTGAGCAGGATGCGCTACCGCTCATACTCGCCCACGGATCTGTACATCTACAGGCACGTGCTCAGCTGGTGTTGGCGGAGATGGTCATGTCGGAGGCCAGCTCGCCCGCCGACCTGACGCACTGCTATAGCCAGCTACAACGCCTGCTGGCAGGCGCCGCACAGGCCGCGACAGCCGCCGAAGACTTTCGCATGGCGGCGCAGGCGGCATGCATGCTGGCATGGCTTCATCACAGCCAGGGTTCGGTTTCGGAGCGGGACACGGCAGCGGCGCTGCAAGAGACGCTGTTGGACCGGCAGGCGGAGGCGGAGGCGGCGTGTGCGTCGGAGGGCCGGACGCTTCATGTTTTGAGGGCCTAGGTTCCTGTGATGGCAATGGCTGATGGTTGCCTTGGGTTTGTGGTTTTGGGGTTAAGGTGTTTTTCTAGATGACACTGCCGACGCGGGCTGTTGGGGGGAATGTCAGTTAACTGTTTGCCCTGGTCATGATGGTGGTGGCAGCGGTGGTAGCGGTCGGAATGAAGTTCTTCGCAGGTGTGTGCAGACTGAATGGAGCTTGTTCTTGCCACTATGTACGAAAGGAAAAACGTAACGGCGGCTTGTGCACGGCCCACGGGCCCAAGTACAGAATGACTACCAGCCTCGAGCCGCAGCTCGTAACCCTTCCGCTGTGTCAAACAGCGCAATAACAATCAGTTTGACATTTCACTTATAAAATGAACTGACATAACTCGTCACAACTCGCTCCAAGGGGTTCGCTCCTGGATGCGCTCCAGCTCCCGAAGCAGCGCCGAGGTGTACGGCCCAGCAGGTTGCGGCAGCCAGCAGTCCCACGGGTCGGTGCCCCAGGCGTTGTCTGCGTCCATGGAAAAGCGCCGTGCCTTACCGCCCCCAGCGGCCGAGACCACCGGCCACAGCATCAGCGCTAATTATCTCACCATGGGTACATAACAGCAGCAGCAACAAACCATAAACCCCCTAAAATTAGGTCCTCAGCGGATAGCACCTAAGGCTCATCCTATTCCTCCCTTTCCCCTCCTTTTTTCACAGCATCAGAGGGCAAATCAGAGCAAAGTGATGAAGGCCAAGCCAAATAGCAAAATAGGCCTCCCATCCCCCCTGACGGGCCTTCCCCGACAAACCTGCCGGACAAAACACGCGGCTTAGCGGTTGGATCCGCTTGATGCTGGCCCCCGGGTGCGGGCGTGTGACGTGGACGAGCGGGTGAGTTGGAGCCGGGTGGGAGAGGGACAGAGATTGGCCAGCAGGTTGGCTCAGTCATAGACGCGTATGCTATACTCTCCGTGTGGGAACTCTCACTATCCTAGCAGCTACTTGCTAGCAGCCATTAGCCTACCTTATTTTGCCTGCCCACCTACCCACCTAACAGCCTACTTGCCTTCAGGGCCGGTGACTAATATCATTCTTACTTCCGCATCGTGCCACCCTTCCCAGAGCCGAATCCCGGCTGCCACAGAGTTGCACAACTGCACAGTGCGCCAAAGCTGGCCAAATGGATGCCTGTAACACCTCCCATTCCCCGTCATGGCGTAGCAGCTTGTTCATTACCATGATCGCTGCTCGCATAGTACAATACGGCGATCTGTCCGTTCTCTGCAAAATCAACATGTGACACGGTACACCCGCCCATACACCATCCCAACCGGTCAGGCCATCCGCCTTCACCTGCTGAGTCCCAAATCTCCACCCGGAAACCACCCTTACACCCAAGCACCCATAGTCGCCTCTAGGGCCCCCTCCCGGCCCCCCCCTTACCAGTTGGTGATGAAGGCCTCCCGCCAGCTGCTCCGGTCCGCAGCCCGGGGCGGCTCCAGAACCACCCTCAGCCCCAACCGCCGTGCAGCCTCAATCACACGGACCTGAACCAGCCCAGGCAGCGCGGCGTCCGCTTGCCGCCCGCAAACCTGCAGCGCCACCTGCTCCTCCTCCTTCTCCTCTTCGCCCGCGTCCTCCTCCATGTACCCCACCTTCTCGCCTGGTCTACCAGTGATTGGGCTAGGGCGGGGAAGGGCTGCGGGCGCCAACAATTCGGCCCCCGTCGGCGCCTTCGGTTTCGGATTCGGATTTGGTGGATCTGTCGATCCAGGTAGTGGCGGTCGATCTAGTCGACATTCACTCATGTTGGGCACAGCGGCCAAGGAGGGTAGCGGTTGTGGTGGTTGTGGTGTTTCTGATGGGGTGGTGTTGGAGCGCTGCTGTTGGGAGGATGTGTTTCTAATGTTGGTTATGACGGCAAAGTTGGTTGTAAGGCCCTCCAAAATGCGGCCGCTGACGTCAGACAGAAGGACCTGCAGTCGTCACAATGGGGACTGGGATGGGGGTGAGGACGGTTGAGGTTAGGCGTGGGGCTGGACAAGTGACGGATGTAAAACCGATGCATATGAAACACGCAGTCGTGGTGAATAGCGGTGGGGCGGGTAGGGACAGGTAAGAGGAGGAGATTGAAGTGAAACCCAGCACTTCGACCACACTTCAAATTTTTTCTCCTCCTCCTCCTACTACTACTACTACTGTACGGCCCCCCCCACCCCCCCCGCCCCAGCCACCCCGCCGGCCCCCACCTCGGCGGCCTCCGGCGGTCTGCGGTCCTCATATTGCCGCCGCTCCAACACCCAGTTCGCCGCCTTGGCGCCCGGAAGACAGCGAGGCCGACCCAGCACCGCCGCCTGGAGCCAGCACCACCACCACCACCACCACCAGCATCACCACCACCAGCACCGCCACCACCACACATGGAAGGACCGGACAGGCGAGGGGACAGCATCAACATCCATGCGAGGGTGGACGAGCCTGGTATATAGCCCTGGCTGTGTCGTACCGGCGTGGGAGGAGTGACGTAAGCACGGAGGCCGCAGCAACCATGCGGCAGTAGCAGTAGCAGTACCAGTAGCAGTAGCACATAGAAAATCAGCCTCACCGCCAGGAAAGGCCCACCAGGTGGCCACCCACTCTCCCCCGAGTCACACGTCCCCGTTTCCATGCCTGTACTGCGTACTCCGATCCATACGGTGGCGGTTGTACGGCCTTGCAGTACACAGCAATGCTGACGGACGAGCTCCTGCCCCGGCCTAAGCCGACGGCGACATCGTTGTTGTTGTTGTTGTCATGTGTACGACGACCTTCAGAGGCTCCTCCGTCAAAACCGCCCCCCGGATTCAGGGCGGCACTAGGAGGGCCACAGCCCACAGCGCCATAGTCTTCAGCAGCCCCGCCTCCACACGGGGCTGGGGCTGCTGACTCAGTGGATGCCGCTACTGCTGCTGCTGTTGCTGCTGCTGGCGGGTTGTCCACGGCAGTGACTGCGGCGGCTGTCGCGGGTGCATCGGGCTTTGGAATACAGGGGGCTGCGGCGGTGCTGCTGATGGTGGTGGAGCTGGTGATGGCGTTGCTTCCAGGGGACGTCGCGGTCCGGGCCTCCGTTGTTGGCGGCAGCAACGGTGCGATGCACACCACCAGCATGGCATGCTGAGGAGGGTGCAAGGTGCAAGGGGGGAGGTGTACCAGCGGGGATGAGGTCAGCGGCACTGCACGATTCGGTGGTGGGGTGGGCTGGTGGCGTTCATCAGGGGCACAGGAAAGCAAACTTCATGGGAGCGATCTAGAACTTCCTTAACGTCGCATTAATATAACCCCCAACAATCAACTGACCAAGACGTTCCCCTCAGTGCCCGGAGGGGTAACATAACAAAAAAAGTTTTTATTCTTAAAGGTTATTTTTACTCAAAGCCGCATCCATATTGGCGCCACAAGCACCATTCGTGTGTATAACCACATGACGCCGATGAGTGACCGACCGGGGGATCGGGGGAAACCTCCTCATCCTCCCGTTGGCTTGGCAGTTGGCTTGGCAGGGGTGATTTCACCGCATAAAAGGCCTTCAGCGCCGTCTTCACTGCAGTGCGCACTTCCTTGTCAAAGAAATCAGCCAGGGAGGCGCCCTGCTGACACACGGAAATTTCCATACACACACACACAGTCAAACCCCGCCGTTGTAAGAGGGGACAATGAATGGATGGAGGTGGATAGCTGGTTACAGGGGGACGGTGAGTTGTCCTGGTGTTTTAAGGCGAGTTTTCATATGGCAACTTGAACATCAACAAGGACATCCCAGCGATTCCAACCCGGACGGCCACTCCTGTTCATTATTTCAGTTATTATTATCACTGCAGCAATTCAGGCCACACAAGATTGCTCTCTCCCACGCAGTTGAGGGCACCTGGGCGTTGAGGGATGCAAGCAACGAATGGAAAGGCCGTGACGGCAGAGTGTTGAGGATTTCGATGCCCCTGTGGCCCAGCGTTTTAAATTGATGAAGTGGATGAACGTAGGTGCGCCATGAGAGTCTGGGACAGGCAAGGACAATAACGGAACGAAAAAATGCGACTGGATGTTACCGGAGTAGGCGGTCGCGGTGGAGAGGCCAGTCAAGAATCATGCCTTCCGGGGTAATAAGTGCAGTCGTATAGACTCCATCTCTATGCTTTGTAAGGGCTTGCTGTGGCGTGAGCTTGCAATTATCGTCAAGGCAGCTATTTTCAAACAAGATAACGCGATGGCCTAAAGAGTGCATCGTGGTCAAATTGTTTCCAGATAGCTACATGACAGCTTTCCAAGCAGAATTCCGTGCCACGACTCGAGCTGAGGAGGAAGTCGTTAAGAAAAAAGACCTAACATCTAAGACATTTTAGCCCGAATGCCTATACTTGGCATTGTGTACTTGGCCTTGAAAAGAATCAAATCTGCATCCTCAGGGTCAGGGCACAAACGCGCACGAGTCGGTGTGTTAACGCCCTACCGTTACATACCGCTGCTTACCGTTGAAAGCTGGTTGTGGTAAGTTAGTGCGATGGGAACCGAAGCAGAGGTAGGCAATTCGGTTTCTACGGCTGCGGGAAGGCATAATTCGGTTAATAAACCTAAAAACTTTTTGGGGCGCCTTCCAGTGTACGGGCCGAAACCTTACTGCCAATGCCGAAATAGTTTCCGTTTTTTGGACCCTTCTGCGAAACCTGCCGGAACCTGCCGGAACCTGCCGAAACCCTGAAAATGCTGTATTTTATGACGTCCATGGTATGCAAACGTTGTTCGTGGGCCCTATGTGCCTTTGCGCCTCATGGGACCTGCTCATGTGTGTCCGAAGGCACTCCGGGGGCACTTTTGCGCGATATGGACGCGCATCTCCTGAAGGCGCCCTTGCTTGGACTCGGTCCGGCAGTACTTGCAGATGATAGTCCAGTTCTTACATTTTGCATTATATTTTTTCTTCTCAAAATGAGCCCAAACGGTCTGATCAGCGGTCCTTCCGCCCTTGTTTTTGACCGAATCTGTGTCTGCACTGACAACGGAAGTTGTCTGAGACATTGATAAGATAAACTCAACATTCGCAGAGTTTCGCAGCCTTGCACAACGCGCCTACACTTTGAAACTATTCAAAGTAGGTTCCGCCGTACGGCGCTAGCCGAAAGGGGCCGAAACTAGTTTCGGCATTTCCGCAGAACCAGGACCTCTTCGCCGGAATCACCGAAACTAGTTTCGGCAGGTTTCCGTTTCGGCAGGTTTCCGTTTCGGCCCGAACACTGGCGCCTTCCTTCTTTACTAAGTTAAACACAGAGTTCAAGTCCAGCACGAGGCCCTACGGGCCGCAATAGAGGCTGCAAATCACGTCTTTTGGTCAAATTTTGGTCATTAGGGACCCGCAGCTGCGGCCTTAAGACGAATTTCGGTTGCGGGTACTGTGGTGCGGACCCGCAGGACCCGCCTTATTTGCCGACCTCTGGTCAGTCTGACTGCTTTGTATTGCATCATGACTACAATACAGTTTTCAACCTGTTCAACCCTCAAATAGTGTCTCAATTAGCACTAATCTTTCCCAGGATGCAGTCAATTTGGCTGCTGCCTCTCCGTCTCAACCGTCTCTTGCTCTGCCTCACTCTCATCATCTCACATCTCATCCCATCCCTTCTCCAGTCACATCCACCAGCCCTGCCATGCTCATCTAAATGTCTGTGTCCGCGCCCACTGCTGCTGGCCTGGCATCATTGCCCTCATCGACAGGTGCCTCCGTAGTGGTGGGAACGGCTGCAGCTGTTTCCTCTGTGGCCTCCTGAGCTGCTTCCTGCAGCCCCGGTGCCTCGCTTGCAGCTCCCTGCATATCCAAGAAAGCCCAAAGAATAGGAAATAAGAAACAAGAAATCAGGCAACAAATGAAGCTTTAAAGCTTACCTCATGAATCTTCAGCAGCCTTAGGAGCCTCACGACCTTCGCCGAAGTCGCCGCCGCCGCCGCCGAAGCCGCCGCCGCCGCCGCCGAAGCCGCCGAAGCCGCCGCCGCCGAAGCCGCCGAAGCCGCCGCCGAAGCCGCCGCCGCCGCCGCCGAAGCCGCCGAAGCCGCCGCTGAAGCCGCCGAAGCCGCCGCTGAAGCCGCCGAAGCCGCCGCGGCCGCGGCCACGGCCACCCTTTGCTCCTCCAAAGCCTTCATGACCACTCCAGCATCAACCTACAACGAAAAACGGAAAGAAGCATCATATTAATTTCTGTTGTAAGAATATCCAGGAAGTGGGTTGTCTGAGCATAGTTTTAGTAAACCAGACCCCATTAACAATACAGAGATTGTCTAGTGTTATTTTAGTTTACTAAAATTACACTAGACAATACAGTATTGAAATACCTGTTGGTTGCTGCTGGAGCTTGGTCCGGGACCGGCACCTGTGGTGCTCGTTGATGGTCCCGTGGGACCACCACCTCCCGAGGAGGACTTGGCTGCGTTGTCACTGCAAGATATACAACAGACATAATTGTTAAACATGCTTTCCTGACCTGTAAACATGATATGCTTGAGTTACGCATATACAAGTGCGGGAGGAGAGAAAATCAAAACCTACATTCTACGCCTCAACCGACTATAGGAGGACTTTTTCCTCCTGTAAAATGCTGAGTTAAAAGAAGCTGTAAAGTCTATATCTGCTACACTTATGGGGTCTAGCTCTGGAATGGGGAAGAGGTTGATCATGAGCAGTGACTGGGGCTGGTATTTGGCCATTATATACGTATTGGAAAAATTAGATGACATAACAGCCGCCACCTCGCCCGGAAACGTTTAAAATGCAGACATATCGGGTGCCGGCGGACCGGGCGCCGTACACGCTCGTCCAGCTGGGCGACCTAAGTGGGACGCGCGCGGGGACGCGACCTGTTCGACCTGGCAACTCGCAGATTTTGGTCGGCTCGCGCGACATTTCATTAGAGGACCTTTGTATGGAACTTTTTCAGGTCGCTCGAGCGTCGCAGGAGCAGTGGCGACGCACTTTGTGGAGTGATGCACGTCCATGGAGTCCAGGAATTAACTTTGCGCAAGCAGCCACTCTGTATGGCCAAGTAGCAATCCAATTTCCATTCTTCGTAAAGAATCGGGAGAGTAACGCTACAGGAGCGTCCATATAATAATAGGACAAGGGGCTCCGCTCGTCAAAGTAGACTTTGACGTGGTGGCGTTAGTAGAACCAAAACTAACTCCAGAAAAGCTTTACGAAATTCATCAAGAATACGGTGAACCCAAAGATAAGAACAAGCGGAACCTTGCGGAACCGAACGCAATCGATCAACGCAGCGATCACTCATGAAAACACCAAGAGATGCAATGGAGGCTCACTCTAGGAACCAGGATTCCAAGGACAAAGAGGTTCGGCAGGTCAACTCGTCGGGTCAAGTCAAGTCGCATGTCGCACGAAGTGCATTTTCCACAGGACAACGTATTACAAGTGACCGATTATCTCCGACACTGTCACATTTACATGCGCCGCACGGTGGTGGCCTGGTGGGGCTGCGGGACCTCTAACCGCGGTGGGTGGTGGGGGAGCCACCCTGCGGCAGCATCACTCCTGGGCCTGCCCCGTGGCCCTGGGCACGGTGGGCCAAATTCAATTGCAGATGGTTGTTCGGGTGAGCCGAGCAAAGCTCTGGCTGATGCAAGCGCCACCCCTTGGAGGGCTGTGTGTAGGTTGTGGTAGTGTGTCCTGAGGTGCCT